CAGAGAGCAAATGCCCTTCATCCTCATTTCTCAAACTATGAAGCATTATTCAGCCAGAGGTGCATTATTTTCTAAATTAAATTTCTAAACAAAATCATTGGTTTGTCTTATATATTTTTTATGTGTTAATATATGAGTGACTATTATCTTTATAATATGACTTTTCCCCATCTTAGTCATGGTCTGTCTTCCCATTTTGTTTTTTTATGTTCTTTAACAATAATATATCATATTACTTATATAAATAGCACTTTTCTTAATTCCTCGGTATTTTACATTTTTGTTACTATTATGGATGGGGTCTTTTTCTCATTATATTTTATAACTGACTTATTAGGATTTGTGTATTTATTTTATATTTTATGTCTACCATCATCTAAATTCTTCTTATCATCATAGTATTTTTCTTGTCATAAATTTTATTTACTAAAAACATAGTCCAATGTGTATAAGGCAGAAACTCTTAGAAACACCAGGAGATTCTGGGGGAAGGAAAACAAAAACGCAAATTCTCTTTTAGAGTTTGACAAATAAAATGTAGAAAAATATAAGTAAGGATCTTGTTAATAAAGAACTTTATACTTAAAAGTTCCCCTTATACCTTATGGAACAAAATATAAGTAAGGATCTTGTTAATAAAGAACTTTATACTTAAAAGTTCCCCTTATACCTTATGGAACAAAAACCAAGTGTGTGGGTAGTATTAAGAAAACAATAATAAATTCTACCAAGTGGAAATTGAAAAGGTTACATTCTTTGACTATGATGCAATAAAATTAGAAATCCAGCAATTAAAGGATAACCATAAATAATGATTAATTTTATGGAAATTTTATGACCATATGGAAATTTTAAGACACTTTTCTAAATAATTTGTCCTTCAAATTAATTTACTTTTTTAAGAAAATAATTATAGATTATTTAAAGATTTTAAATCTTTAAATTACATATTATTCAAAGATTAACAAAATGAGATTTTATTTAAAGATTAACAAAAAAGAAAAAAAGAAGTCAACTAATTATAAAATAAAACAATAATCCTCCCAAAATAGAAATAAAACTCCATGTCAGTTTTTTTTTAATAAATTATATGGCTAAATTGACAAACAGACTGACTGATATAAAGCAAAAACAAAAATATACAACATTACATGGACAACAGGGGGATGGGAGCATGAGTGTGTGTGGGGGGGAGGTTGGGGGTTAATGGGGGGGATGAGGACACATTTGTAATACCTTAACTAATAATAAAAAAATATATATATACACAACATTAAGAGAAAAGTCATATTTTTCTCAGAAAACCAAGAAAACTGATGATATTCGGAAATACTCTGTACAGAATTTAAGCCAATACATTTTAAAATCTAAATTAAATATTTTCATAGGGAAATTTGTTATCATTAGCAAATTTGATTCAAAAGAGGTTGAAACTAATTACTAAGAAGACATTTACAAGGTTGTTAAAGACACGCTACTAAGAAAGATCCAGACCCAGATGGTTTTACAAGTAAATCCCTTGAAGGGACTGATTATTACGTTGTTTGTAACATTTCAGAATATAGAAAAAGATGGAAAGCTTGCATGTCCCTAATATCAAAACATGAAAACTTAACACAAAAAACAAAACTATGAATCAGTCTCATTTAGATATATATGTTAATATGTTAAATAAAAAGTAGGAAATGGAATTCAAGAGACTATTAAAAGGATAATAAACCATGATTAGGAATGATTTATTCTAAGAAAGCAAGGATGGTACATATTAGGAAATTTATTAATGTAACCAATATACTATAATAGAATAAAACAGAATGGTCATTATTAATAAACATTTTTAAGACATTGGATTCATTATCCATTTTGAATAGTACCTAAATTTTAACAGGCATGGAAGCACCCTGTGGCTCAGTTAGTTGGAGCATCATCCCATGCACCGAAGAGTCGCTGGTTCGATTCCCAGTCAGGTCGTATACCCAGGTTGTGTGGATTTGATCCATGATGGGGGCACATGAGAGACAACTGATTGATGTTTCTCTCCCCCCTCCTCTCTTTCAGAAAAAATAAAAAGAAATGGAAGGGAACTTCTTAACCATATCAATATTGTTCTTATTTTAAGCTGTTTAAACAATTATTTGAGAATTGTAATTAGTATCACTAAAATGATTTGGGATGCATAATCAATCAGAAATCACAGCTTCTTTAGAACAGCCTAAAACAATGCTATATTCAGATTGAACTTTTCATCTTATATGATGCTAGGCTTTATTTCATATTGAGGTGAGAAGATAAGTGTGTGACCTCACAGTGTCTGTGTATGTCTCAAAACCACTCAAGTGGAACTTTATGGACAGTTTGCACCTGCATTTCTGTTGACAGTGCATCAGAGAAGTAGGGAAGGAAGTGTTCCTCCAGCTAAAAATATTAGTAAAGCAGAAATTAATTATAACTAAAAACTAGCGCTCAGAATTGCACATTCTACTCACCAAAAGTAGTAAGTACCTTCTTTTTTGGGAATGACTGGTAATTGAATTTTGCCCAATTATCTTCTAGAAATGATTGCCTTGAAGTCGTTAATTTTATTTTTGTTAAACTCCAATTACAACTTGCACAGTATTGTGGTAGACATAACAATGGATAATGTTGGGTCCACACCCTCTAGAATGAACCATAGTTTTTATGAACCGTGTTACAAGGTATGATTTTCAGGTGGCAGTGGTTTCAGGGAGGTAATGGCATCAAAGCTGGGCTTTCTGGACTAAGTAGAATTTCCACGTTTGAAGAGGAGAAAGAAGAGCTTTCCAGCCTAGGAGAAGAGTGTCAATAAGAGGATGGAGGCATAAGCTGGAGGATGTGTGTGTGTCATTGAAAGGTGCTCAAACCTAGTCAAGGGTTAGGGTTTCCTGAAGAATTTTTTATTTAAAAGAAAAACTCCAGGGGCCCCACCCATGGAGACCTTAATTCAGTGAAGGTGAGAAAAGGCCCACACACCTATGTTTTCCTAAAAGCCCCATGAATGACTCTGGTGTGCAGTTAGGGTTGAGAGCCTGTAGTGTGGTCTCATATGTGACACAACTGTAGGGAATATGGACATACTGTGGGAAATGACGCTGGAAAGATGTTGGAGCCAAATGATAACTGTGTCACATTGTTTAGGTATTGTGGATCCATTTGTTTTCTTTTTTAATTTCTATTACATCACCACCATCTCTCCCTTAGATATCAGCCAGCTATTCCTTAAACCATAGTGGCGAACTGTTTTTCTGCCCAAGGGCCATTTGGCTATTTATAACATCATTTGTGGGCCATATAGAATTATCAGCTTAAAAATGAGTCTGCTATATTTAGTCAAACGTTTCATTAACTCGCCCCTACGGCCTTGGCAGGGCCCGACCAAATGATTTCTTGGGCCTTATACAGCCCCGGGGCCGGACATTCCCCACCCCTGCCTTAAATAAAACTTGACTCCTTGCATGAATTCAAAGCAAAACATGCTAAATGAGATGAAGAAGAGGAACCAGTCAAGAATCTCATTAGCTAATTGCTATATTATTACCCCAAAACTTAAAACAACCACCATTTTATTATCACTCACAATTCTGTGGGTTGACTGGACTCAGCTGGGTAGTTCTCCTCCTCCAAGTGATAGGGCAGGGGACACAGTCATCTAGACCCTAGCTTCTAGAGGATCAAGTGGGCGTGAACATCAAGATGGTCCACTCCTATGGCTGTTGGTTGAGATCTCAGTTGAAGCTGTCAACCGGAACATCTTGTGGGCTTCTCACTGCAAGGCAGCTGGGTTCTCAGAGGAAGCATCTCAAGAGCAAGCATATTCAGCCAGGTTCAGGCTGCCAGAATTCCTGTGACCTACCTCATTGTGGTAGTCTCAGATGCCATTTCCACCACCCAAGGCCAGCTCAGATTCAGTGGAAAGTGGATTAGACTCCATCCTCTGATGAAAGAAGCAATGTGTGCGTACAAGGAGAGAAGGAAGTTGATGGCAGCCAGTTTGGAGACTTATTACTGTAATCTTACTGTGCCAAGTCCTCTACCATCAAAATACATAAAGCAGAATATCAGGAAATTGAGACATCAGCAAAAATACAATTAGACAAAACAATAAGTAAGGATAAAAGGAATGTGAATAATATAAAAGGCTTATGTAATAGATATGTGTGTTGCATTTCTTATCTGACAGTAAAGAACACACCTTCATTCCAGGCATCCATAAAATGTCTGCTCACCCCAGAAAGAAGCCTTGAACCCTTACGTGCTCTTATAAATCTGAAGCCTTAATGATATGCTTTCCTCATCTCTCAACCTAGTAGAAATAATTACAGTTGTGTTTCATCTATTATTATACAGGGCTCTGTATCAAGCGGGGTTCTTCCCATTTGGGAATCCCTTCCTCTGGATGAATTTTTTGCACCTGGTATAAACAATTGGGTTACACATGTCTCTTAAGTTCTTACTTTTTTAAATTTGTTTTCTGAAAAGATCAGCATTGAAGGAGGCTTTATTTTAATTCCCCAAAGTCTCGTGATCAGAGAAGTTTTGACTTATCCAGGGTGCTCTCTAGACTGCAGAGTCACATCCAGCAGCCACTGGAATCATCTTCTAACTTCCCAGTAATGCTGACCTGGGAATTGAGCTGCAGTCATTGCCAATACATGTTTCCCATGTATTGTTTTTGTAAGCCCCTTAAGAAAAAGGTAATCCCTTTAAGGCAGTTTTTTTTTTTTAAGTCTTTGCTTTGCTTTCTGAAATGCACATATTGTACCCTCGTAGTAAGACATGCAGAGTCTGAGGTAGGAACCCAGGTTGTGGTGGTGATTTCATTTCCTGGCCTGTCAGCGATGAGTCCTCATTACCCGTAGCTTCTATCGCAGTGTCCTCATCTGATCTTTCGGAATCGAATCTTGGCATTAAGCCACCCGGGATGAGGAATCAAAGCAAACAGTCGTCTCCCTCAGTAACGCTCAGCCCGTTTGCCGTTGCAGGTCGTCACGCTGTGGTACCGGGCCCCAGAAGTCCTGCTGCAGTCCAGCTACGCCACCCCCGTGGACCTCTGGAGTGTCGGCTGCATATTCGCAGAAATGTTTCGTAGAAAGTAAGAAATGCCTTTGTTTCCCTCTCTCTTCCTTGGAAAGAAACTGGCTGGGTCTTGGGTCATTTAAGAAGCAGCACAGCCCTTCTGTTTCACGTAGGGTCACAGTTCCCAGATCCACCTGCTTCAGGCTGCCGTGACCAGGCCAGCCCTAAACCCCCCTCTAGTCCTTATGGCATCCTGTTGTCTGACTGTGCCTTCCAGCTCTAGGAACTCTAGAAAAACACGCTACACTACAATTTGTTTTGTTTTGTTGGTGATAATAGGACATAGTGAACATGAAGCATGTTGATGGTATTTTTCAGTGAGGAAATAGCTTCAAAGTGGACTGTGTCCACAGGAAGAGGACCTGGGCTAAGTATGTGGAAATTTTGATGGTGAGAAAAAAACACACAATGTTTAGGCTGAAGAGGAACAGGCAAGGAAGATGTCAACACTATTTCAGAATGCTTTAATCCGTGGTTCTCAATCTTCTGGCCCTTTAAATACAGTTCCTCATGTTGTGACCCAACCATCAAATTATTTTCATTGCTACTTCATAACTGTAATGTTGCTTCTGTTATGAATCGTAATGTAAATATCTGATATGCAGGATGGTCTTAGGTGACCCCTGTGAAAGGGTCGTTCGACCGCGAAAGGGGTCGCGACCCACAGGTTGAGAACATGCTGTCATGTGGAGGAGAGATTAGGCATATTCGGGCAGGAGAGTGAGCAGGACAAGGACCAAAGATATTAAAATTACAGAAATAAAGATTTTTGCTCGAAAGGGGGACGGAATCTAATGAAGAAGAGGTTGGGGTTCGTGAAAATAGTGCATTCTCATTAGGTGTCCAAGAAGAGGCTGGACCACCACCCGGAGGTGTTTTCAGTGGAATTCACAGGGTGAGTGGGTGGGATGACCTCAGGGCTCCTCTGACTCCAAGAGTCTGTGATTTGTTTGATTTTAAGGATATAAGAAATAACCAAACAATATAATGAAGATCTGCCAGGAAAATAATTCTTACCTAGGTACTAAATTCAGCCTGGTCAAAATTAAACAGAGAACATAATTGTAATCTAATCTCTCCTTGTTTTCTATTTTTACTTCCATGGGAAAATGTGAGTTGAAAAGCTGAGTATATATTCCCATTGGACATGTAATGTTCAAAATGAAGCTACATGATCTCTCACGAGTGGTCAGCCATTGCTTGTTTGCTTGCTTGTTTGTTTGTTTGAACCAAATGGAGTTTTGTGCATATAATACATTTTGAGACCTATTTCTAGAACTCAGCAGATTTTTCTGTAGCTCACAAGAGGGGATCATGGCAAGGAAATCAAAGTACACAGATGTGTAATGCAGGCCTACTGTGTGCCAAGTTCAGGACCAAACCTCTTCCATTATGTTATCTTCTGATTCCGCACAATAAGAGACAAGTGAGGTATTGTGGTAAATTTATTTGTCTAATGTCAAGCAGCTTTTAAAAAAAAAAAAAAAGTAGCAGGGGTATGATTCCAAAGGAACTCTGTGAGCTCTAATCCAATGTTGTTTTTCTACCAAAGAGGGAAGATAAAACATAATATTGAATTGCAGTGTTTTGCCAGGCAGGCTGCATACAGGCATACCTCCTTTTATTGAGCTCACAGATGTTGTTTTTTCATCTTTATTGTTGAAAGTATTACATATGTCCCCTTTTTTTCTCCCATTGACCCCTTATAGCCCTCCCCCACCCCCTACCCCAGGCCTCTACCACCCTATTGTCTGTGTCCATGGGTTATGCATACATACATACATACATACATACATACAAGTCAGATGTTGCTTTTTGTTTACAAATTGAAGGCGAGACCTTCCCACCAGCAAGAAGATTATGACTCTATTTACTGGCAATACTCGGTTTATTGCAGTGGTCTGGAACCGAACCGCAATATCCCTGAGGTTTGTCTGAAGTGGTTTTGGAAGCGTGGTCCTTGGACCAGCAGCAGCAGCATCATTAGGGACCTGGTGGGAAACACAGGGTCTGAGGCCCCACCCCAGAACGACTGGATTAGAAGCTCTAGGGCTAGGGTCCAGCAGCCTGTGTGCTAACAAGCCCTCCGGATGATCCTCATTCACCCTCCATGGTAAGAACCACTGTGCTGGATGACGGGATCACCAGGGATGGGCATTCTTTAAATCCGGGGTGAGGAACCTTTTCTCTGCCAAGGGTCGTTTGGCTATTTATAACATCATTCAAAATTATCGACTTAAAAATTAGCCTGCTATATTTGGTCAAATAATTAATTGACTCACTTCTAATGCCTTGGCAGGGCCAAACCAAATGATTTTGAGGGCCTTATACGGCCCATGGGCCAGACGTTCCCCACCCCTGCTTTAAATGTTCAGCTCTCAGGTTCTCCCTTGAAAGTCTGATGCTTTACTGGGCTGAGGCCAGGCATTCTTGTTTTTTAAAGCGCCTCATGTAATTCTTTTCATCAGACACGTGTGGAAAACATTGGGTTAAAGGCTTATGGTCAGAACAATTTCTGTCAATATTGCAGAGTGTGAGTTAGGACTGTCATTCCAGTTAATCCCAGGAATAACTTGGTGTAGCTGGGAATTGATTAGAGAAATGTTTATTGGAATTGCATTTATTTGTCAAGAATTGTCCTCAAATGTAAAGATTGAGTCCTTTTGTTATGGCAGGAGTGTGATTAGTTATTTTTCAATAGTACAAGACGTGAACACCACTCATAATTGATGACGAAACCAATTTTCTTCTGAAAAATGTGAAAATAAATATAAAATTTAAGCTATATAGTGTTAAACATTCACTAGTAAGGAATTTGCTGTATTTATAAGTATAGGTAGTCACCCCCTATGGAAATTTTTTATTTCATAATGTTAATACATTTCCCCAGTGAGTTGGTAGTATAGATTGGCAATCTGGTTCCCAGTCTAGCTTGCAGAACCCTATATAACCTGCAACATACATGAAACATTATTTGTACTACTTCATCAAAATCTATTTTCTATTTATTACATTTTTTCATAGGGGAAAATTCATTGTATATTCCACTCCAAAATGACAGGATTGTGTTCTCATCCTAACATTGGGCCTGGGAAGAGGGAGTCAGAGAAAGGCTCCTTTGATAATAGCAGCAACAGTCTCTTCAGTTTGCCAGGAAATTGAGATATTGGGTAGAGACCCATTGGCCCTTCAGATGTGCACAAAAGAAAACCTTACACAGAAATAGTAAACTGAGAAATAATTGCCTCTAGGGGAAAACAGTATCAGATTCCAGGCCCATTCGCCTTTAAAGCTGAGGGGGAATGAAGCAGGGCCTGCCACACACCCTTCCTGGGGAGGACACCTTGTCTCCTAGATAGTTCCTGTCAGTTTGGCTGTGACCTTGCATACAGCCATGGGATCTGACCCTTGTTCCTGCTCAGTTCACGTTTGGCATTTCCTGTGATAACACTCAGATATCAGAATGTGCATGCTTCTTACTTATGCCAGATGTGTTCTGGAGTCCATCTTTCAGCTTGACCTGGTTCTGACCTGACTTTTGATTTAGTATTGACCCAAATGTGGAGTGTCTAGCTGAAAAGTCATAAGCCATAGATTCTAAAAGCAGACTTCCATAATTTTGTCATCTCTTCATGGTTTATGACATATTCTTATGACAACTATACATACTTAATTTTTACCCTAAATCATTATTTTTATATTTAACCTCATCTAAAGGAAAGTACATAAAATCACAGATCTGATGAGCCAGTTATTTATTTATCTAATATTCACTAAAGTGTGTGTGTGTGTGTGTGTGTGTGTGTGTGTGTGTGTGTGTGTATAGTATAACCATTAAAATTATTAAGAAATCTAGTCCAGGTCCACCCCCTGAAATCATTTCATACCATCAGTGGTACATGTCACATGTTGGAAACCCTGTAACAGGTATTTTTCATCTAGTCTACAAATAATTTATTGAGTGGTTACTATATGCAAGACACTTCTCTAGAGGATTAACTTAAATCCTGGTGGGGAAGAGAGGCCAGAGCTGAGGTAAAAGCTCTGAATACGTGTAGGGTTCTAGAAATGGGGATAATGAGAAGACTAGAGGGAGGAAAGACATTTCTCAGTGGAAGGCTAGAAGTCATGATTAACCTTCCTTCAAGGTCATACAAGGCTCACCATCCTCCATAAAAGAGAGAGAGAAAAGAAGCTCAGGGCGTAACATGGATCTGTCATGTGGCAGACCCAGGGCTGGGCCCTTCCCTTGCATTATCTCTTTAAACCCACATTCATTCTGAGGACTATTACCCAGTTTCCAGATGGCGAACTAGAGCCTTCCCTCAGGAGGATAAAGAACGTGCCCATGGCACACAGCTCTCAAGTGGCTGAACCACGTTTGAATCCAGGTCTGCCTGACTCTAACTGATTTTTCCACTCTGCCATGTTTCTGCCCTTGCTGTTGTTTTACCTATTAGGCCATATTTTTTTCTGGAATGTTCTGTATGTTATTACAATGTAGCAGCAATGATATTTTAGAGAGGTCAAGAAGCAAACCACACATTTAATAGCTTTGATTTCTAGTCTCTTCTATATTGCAAAGGTTGACCAGTTCTCTGTGATATTAAGGGGTGCGTGCCTTCTATTCTACAATGAAATACCTAGGAGAAGTGAACTCAGTAAAAAAAAAAGAAATCTTAGGACAGATGGTTGCCAAAGAGCCAGAGAGTTTAAATACCATCTGTCACTATTATCTGGGTTTAATAATTGCCCACACTGACCCACAGTAGCATTCTACAAAATAGAGAAGAGCTGGATTTTTTTTATCTTCCTCTTTTAGTTGTTCATTCATGGATAATCCAACTTTACTCCACATGGAGCTATGTTTTAATGCTAAAAACAAAAACAAAACATTGCTACAACTGTGGTTAGTAGACAATTAGCCAGCTTGAAGGATGGGATTGGATGGATAGGACAGATGGATGGATGGGTGGGATTGATTGGTTTTTTTTAACTTCATGGCAAGTTAATTTC